CTCCAGTATCCATGCACTTATATTTCCATTAAGAAACATCAAGAATGGAATCATAGAATCATTTTCATTGGAAAAGACCCTTAAGATCATTGAGTCCAACTGTAAAATTAACTCTGCCAAGTCTACCACTAAACCACGTCCCTAAGCACCACATCTGCACATCTTTTAAATACCTCAAGGAATGGTGAGCCAACCACTTCCCTGGGCAGCCCATTTCTGTGCTTGACAACCCTTTTGGTGAAGAAGTTTTTCACACTATCCAATCTAAATCTCCCCTGGTGAAGCTTGAGGCCATTTTGTCTCATTCTATTATTTGTTACTTGGGAGGAGAGACAAACATCCACCTCGCCACAACCTCCTTTCAGGTAGTTGTAGAAAGCAGTAAGGTCTCCCCCTCAGCCTCCTTTTCTCCAGGCTAAACAACCCCAGTTCCCTCAGCTGCTCCTCATAAAACCTGTGCTCCAGACCCTTCACCTGCTTTTTTGCTCTTCTTTAGATGTGCTCCAGCACCTCAGTGTCTCTCTTGTCATGAGGGGCCCAAAACTGAATAAAGTATTCAAGGTGTGGTCTTACCAGTTGTTCTTATGGTATTTTTATCTATTTCTTCAAACCTCAGCTCCATTCTCCAAACTCAAATATTTTCTGCTTCAATTATTTTGAGATCAACTTTTGTAGACTGTAGGAATATGTCTAGTTTGCATGAACACAAACATGAGCCAAAAGATTTTTCAAGTATTTAGTTTTAATACAGCTGCAAGATTATCTATTGAACTATGAGGTTCTCCGTTACAATATTTAAGCAATTTTGTAGAACTGATGCATGGTTGAGCTCCTTATTTCTTTTGCTCTTCTCCCTTCCCAGATAGTTATGATAAATACATATGTGTTGTATTGCTCCAGTTTTTTCCCTGCAAAGTTAGGTTTGCAGGAAGAACGTGTAGACCTTTCAGTTTGGCTTTGTTCCATCTTAGGAAGATCTTTATGACAAAGCTATTCTACAGGTGGTAAATATGCCCACTGCCCACTGGAATTCTGCCACAGGAGCAGTGTTGCACAATTGTATCAGACTGATGAGTCAGGCCTCGCATCTTTTCTGAAGAGACTAACAACATGTCAGTTATTATCTTACTACTATCCACTTGCTTATTTGTCTTATTTGTCTTATTGTTCCAGAAAGAACAAAAGCTGTGTTAGTCTAGCAGGTAGTCTAGCAGGTAAGGATGCACTGCTTGTTCAAAGACCCTATAGTTCAAATCATAATAAAGCAAGACTCTGAAAAGAAAGAGGGAATAAAAAAGAAAAGGTGGGGGTGGAGGGGAGGGGAAGTTGCTGCTGAGTCTTGACTAACTGAAGGGCTCTCTTCACTAAAGCTTCATTAACTAAAACTAATGCAACAACAATAACACACCTGCTGCCGTTGTGGTGGTGAGGAGATATGTCCATGTGCTTCTCGGGAACTATGTGTACCGGAGCTGTTTATAGAGCATGCCAAAAAATCTCATGGATATTAACCATTCTTGCTCACTTTTGAAAGGGGTCACATTTTAGCAAGTGGCCTAGAAGTTAAAAGCTTTCTTAACATCATTTCCATGAGTCATTCCATTTCCACACATGTTGGTTAATATAATTATTTCTCTCTCTTCACCTATCATAAGAGAATCTGGGGGAAAATGTTGATTTTCTCTGTACTTGCTAATTATTTGATATAATTTGTTTTAGATCTCCTTCTTTCATGGTACTTTCTTAAAATTAGAACCAAATTAAATGTGTTCCTAGCCATTGCAGAAAACATTGATTAGAGCTAAATTATGCTCAGTTGTGATCTACACTGAAATTTGCATGACACATCTCTCCTGGAGTGAAACTAAAAGCAAATTTGAATCGTCCCCTATTCCTTTCCAGTGAATACAGTCCATTAACCATTCAATCCAATAAGTTGTGGTCAATATTTAGAACAGATGAATGTGTAGATTTAATGAATTATGGAGCTATTAGAATAGAAGTCTCCAGTACTTACTGAATCTGTGCTGAATAGTCTATGTCTATTAAAGGATAATTAAAGACAAGCACCTCTTTTTTTCCCTTTTCTTATTTGTATTGCAGCAGTCTCCACAGCCCCTAGTTTCAATCAAGACAGCATCCTTGATTATGAAAGTAAATACTGTAGTATGTTGATTGGGAAAATATGTGTGTTTAGTATGATCATTTTGAGCATTTGCAGTGATTTACATATGTCTGTTTATATGTAAAAAGGTAGCACGGGTATGTGTGTTTTCAAAGGCTAAGGTGGCAGATACCTGCTTTTTCAAACCCACAGTTCAAGCCTTCTGGTCTCACACAGGTGACTGTATTCAGCCTTGTAAGCTGTAAATGGGCATTTGAACATCAGACCAAAAGTTGGCTGGTATTAAGTGTTACGGGTTGCTGCCTGTAAATGGGAAAGGATCTGCAGAGAATCCACATCCCACAGGAAGTTATGCATATGCTTAACTTGTCCCATTGACAAAAATCCACTCAAAACAAAGTGGGAAATCTAATGTCATCCCTACTGGGTCCTCTGAGCCCAGGATATTGTTGCAGGACACCATACAACTCACTGTACGTGTGAAAAGGAAGAATAATTTTCTCCTGGATTTCTGCTACTTGCCACCTTTTTTTTTTTTTTTCCTTGTCTTATTTTGATGTGTTCTTTCTCTATCAGTTTTCAGAAACAATTCATTATTAACTTGAGAAGGCTGTATGAGAGAAATTATGTCTGTATGTGTGAAAGAGAGAAAGAAATAAGCAGAAGTTGCTTTCTTTCTGGATCCAGCAGGAAATAGCTTTTCAAGCAGCTATCACAGTAAGAGAACAGCACATCTAGGTTGTCTCTGTGATGATATAAAATAACATCTACCCTACCTGACATCACTGCACAGGCAGCCTCTAATCCCAGATGGCTAACATAAAAGCTCTATAACCTTGTGATAGTATTAAATGAAAGGTAGGTCATAGATGGCCTCTGACTAGTAGGAACCTTAAGAATTGCTGCTGTGAGAGGGAGTAATTGCAGAACCTGTGCTCTGCATGGATACAGATAGCCTCTCCCACTATGGTTCAGTTCTTCCCAACCTTTTGTGCATGTTTGGCTCCGCACTGTTCGTTCCCCAGTAATAGAAATGCAACAATTGAACCTTGAGAGAGCTGGTATTGTCATGTTTTTATAGATTTTTTTTTTCAAATGCTTACATAGATATATACTGGGGTTTTGTTTGTCAAGCATAAGAACTGTCAAATGTATCTGCTCTTTTTTAACTTAGGAAATGACAGCTTTCTCATCAAAGAAAACATTAATTTTCTTTCTAACCTGAAGAATAATCCAGTACTGGTTCTCTTCCAAATAACACATCTCATGTCTTTTTTTTTTTTTTGCTCTTTCCTTAAGACATATAACTTACCATAAAAAGCTTTTCAATTAGGGCCTGATTGAAAACTTATAACTGCCATTACAGAAAAAACCCAACATTTTCTTCAGGCTCTTTCAAGCACTTTTATGTGCAGCTATTCACACAGTGGTCACACTTACATGACAAGGCTATGTTGTAGGGACAATATATACAATACAGCATTTCCTTAGGATATTAATAGCCATTTTGGATAGTGGGAAAGCTACCTTTTCTTTTCCTTTTTCTTCATGTCAGTTCTGCTGATCAGCTGTAAAATATGACAGCAATTAGACATGGGAGCTTCCTCCTGTACCAGTGTTTTGATGCTCCAAAACTTATTCTCTCTCTCTCTTTTTTTTTTTTTTTTTTTTTTTTTTTTAATATGTATATATATATACACACACACTCTAAGGCAAAGATTCATGGCATCTTTGGCAATTTGTCATGTGATCCACTTCCCTGAAAGGTGCAGAGGGAGAATTTCTGGCCTCTTTCATGTCTGTATTTTCTGCTTTGCCACAATGTGATAACTGAAAGGATCTTTCTTACCATCGCACTGTTGTGTTAACAGTCTAAATGGAAAACGGTAAGAGAGACTTTAGTTTTCCATGGAATGTGTCAGCACCACCCTAACATGGGCACTTGTTCAGCCAGCTGGGGCTTTAAAAAGTGTGAGCCAAGTCACCGAACTGAAGTCTCTAACCAAGCAACATCCCTCATTGCTAGCCGATGGGTACAGTGTGAACACCCGGAGGGCAACCATAGCTCCTCTAAGCTCTATGAAATAAAAGGGAGGAAAAGGGCAAGTAATCCCTCAGATGGAGGTGGGGAAGCCTTCCAAGGGGCACAGGCACTAGCTCTCTGGCAGGCTCCAGGCACGCTGGTTACAGCCGGTGCGCTCGGGGTGCGCCTGAGCACAGCACAGGGGCTAAACTACTGGTAAATCGTCGCCAGGTCTGATCCTGAGCTGCGCGTTAGCGGAAAGTTGGGCTTCCTGTTGCTCCCGCCTGCGGTCCGGGAGCGGATCAGAGCGACTCCGCGATCCCTGGCTGAGCCTCTGCCTCGCAGCCGCTCGTCTGCGCATGAGTCGCCGCGGGAGGCTCCGCGGCTGGAGTATTTCAGGGGCTGGGCGCCGGGGGAAGATGCTCAGTGCCTGACGGAGGCCGTGCGCCCGGCGGAGGGGGAGCGGCGGCGGCTGCGGGCCGTGGGCCGTGGCGAGGGCGGCGGCGGCGCGGGGGGCACCGCGCACGGCGGCCGTCGGGGCAGCTCCCGCTTCAGCACCGCGGACAGCGCGCAGCGAGCTCCGCGCCCCGGCTCGGGCGGCCGGCCCCGGCTCCCCCCTACCCCCCCCCGCCCGGCTCCCCCCGCCCGGCTCCCCCTACCCCCGGCCCCGGCTCCCCCTACCCCCGGCTCCCCGCTACCCCCTGCCCCGGTTCCCCCGGCCCCGGCTCCCCCTACCCCCGGCTCCCCGCTACCCCCTGCCCCGGTTCCCCTTGCCCCGGCTCCCCCCTACCCCCGGCTCCGGCTCCCCCTACCCCCGGCTCCCCCTGCCCCCGCTGCCCCCGGCCCCGCCGCCCCCGGCTCCGCTGCTCCCAGCCCCACTGCCCCGGCCCCGGCTCCCCAGACCCTCTAGCTGCGGCACCCATCCGCGGGTGTCCCGACCTGCCCTCTATCTCCGGAGTGCCCCGGCGCCCCTACCCTCGGCTCCGACCCCAATCCTCCCGGACCTCGCTCCGCCGCTGCCTGGCACCGCCATCGGGGTCCCGCTCCCCCGCCGCTCTCCTCCCTTCTGCCCCGGACGCCCGCCCAGCCCCGCTCCCCCTCGCCCCGCTCTCAGCACCTTCGGCCCTACTCCCCTCCCGCTGCTCCTTCTCCTTACCCCCCGCTGCCCCCAGTTCTGCTCCTCGCTCCCCCGGCCCCTGCACCCCGGCCCGCGCCGCCGGCAACATGCGCGGGCGGCCGCGGGCAGCGGCAGGCGAGGCTGCGGTGCCGGCTCGGATGCCCCCTTCCTCCTGCCCTCGCCCGCTCCAGGCGACCCGCTGAGAGATGGACTTGGCAGGCGTGCTGGTGGCGTTGCTCCTCGTCCTGGTGCTGGTTGTCTCTCTGCTCTCCAACCTGCTGGTGCTGCTATGCTTCGTCTACAGTACGGAGATCCGCAAGCAGGTGGCCGGGGTTTTCCTGGTGAACTTATCCTTTTGCAACCTGCTCCTCACCGTCCTGAACATGCCTTTTACCCTGCTGGGGATCCTGAGGAACCAGCAACCCCTCGGGGGCTGCGTCTGCAAAGCGGTGGGTTTCCTCGAAACTTTCCTGACTTCCAACACGATGCTGAGCATGGCAGCGCTCAGCATCGACAAATGGATTGCCGTGGTGTTCCCCTTAAGCTACACCAGCAAGATGCGGTATAAGGATGCTGTGATACTGATGGGCTACTCGTGGCTCCACTCCCTCACGTTCCCCTTGGTATCCTTGTTTTACTCGTGGGTAGATTACAGCAGCGTTTATGCCTCTTGCACCTTGCACCTGAAGGAAGAGACAGAGAGGAGAAGGTTTACAGTGTTCACCATCGTCTTTCACTCCACCAGTTTCATGCTGTCGCTGGTGATTTTGTGTTTCACCTATTTAAAGGTGTTGAAAGTTGCCCGGTTCCACTGCAAGCGGATAGACATTATTACCATGCAGACTCTGGTTTTGCTGGTGGATATCCACCCCAGGTAATGTGTGTGTGTTCGTATTCACAGCCCCGGGGCACTTGCGGCAGGCACCCCGGGCGGAGGGGATGTCCTGCCTCCCCAGCAGCCTTCCCTGCCCTCCCGCCTGCCCCGGGCACATGGCGAACGCTTCTGCCTCTAGTTTCAGGCGCTGCTTATAGTGCCAGAAGACGGTGGCTTGTGTATTTGTAGCCTGCTTGGTTTAAATGGTAGCCCCGCTTGCCGAGTGCTCCCACTTGCCCGAGCTCCCTTTAAGACGGAGCTTTGGCGAGTGCGATCGTCCTCAGGCTCGGCGGGGCCAGGGCTGGCCTCCCCTCCCCCGGGGCTGCCCTCCTCCTGGGGTCCGGGCTGCCCTGCCCTTCCCGGGGGCTGCTCTGCCCTCCTCCCGGGGGGCTGCCCACTTTCAGGGAGCTGCCCTCCCCCGGGGGCTGCCCTGCCCTCCCCTCCCCCGGGGGCTGCCCTGCCCTCCCCTCCCCCGGGGCAGGGGCTCTCGGACCAGGAGCGAGTCCTTCCCCTCTCCCCTGGGCTCACATCTTGCTTCTTGCCTTAACCCACCGCCTGCTCTTTTCCCTTTGCAGTGTGAAGCAGCGCTGTCTTAACGAGCAAAAACGGAGGAGGCAGCGGGCTACCAAGAAAATCAGTATTTTTATAGGGTCATTTGTGATCTGTTTCGGTCCTTACATTATCACCAGGTTAGTATTGCCTGTTGGGGTGGGGGACATTCTGGAACTGGTGTGGCCTCTGATGTGCAGGTGCCCGGCAGGGACTACAGCTGGTTTGGGGATGTCAGAGCCTGAGGGAAACCCGGGGCCGGTTCTGAGGGGCAGAGCACACACACACATACACATACACTCGCACCGGTCCTGCCTGCGTGCCCAGCCTGCTGGGTGAAGCCTCAGCAGCCTCTGGCTCTCCTTCCCTCATTGCAGCCAGGTCTGGGCACCTCTGCCAAGAGCAAGAGGCTTTTAGGACAAATACCAGGAATTAATTACACGCTAGTGGGAGATGAAGGCAGTTTAAAAGACTCGCCACCCTTCCTTATTAGCACAACCCGAGCAACAGAGAGGAAAGCAGACAGCTTTTCCTGATTAACTCGGTTTTTTTGTTGTTGTTGTTTTTTGGGTTTGTTTGTTTGTTTGTTTGTTTGTTTGTTTGTTTGTTTGTTTGTTTTTTTAAGGCATAAGGCCAAGCATGCTGCTATTGGAAGCTGAGGTGACATAATTTAAATTTATCCTGGCTGATAATTTGTCAGATAAGCTTTGTGTCTGGAAACATTAATGGCTGTAAATATATTGCTAATGGTGCAGCATGGCCCCTGTGATGAGGTGTAAGTGTTATCTCCCAGGAAAACAAATAATTAGACTTCTAAAATGTATAGGAAACACTATGCTCCTGAACTGGCCAGAATCATTGGCATCCGTCCCAGTGGTTTGCACCTTTTTAAGTACTTCTGCATCATTCTCGTTCCATACTTGTGTAGTCTTTATACAACATATGGTTATTATTTTTAAATCTTGCATAAATCAGAGAGCTGGAAGCCAATGTAACTATACTGAATTGCAGCACCTCAGGATTTAGCCTTTCATCTCTAAACTAAAATGGGCTACAACATTCACAATGATTTTTTTAAATGTTTCCCACTTCACAGTGTGTTCAAGACACCCTTGAAGAGTACTGACTTCTGTTGAGGAAGGTGCATTAGTCTGCAAAACCACCCTGGTGAGGGCTCCCTCAAGGTTGATACCAAGCTGCCAGGGTCTGCACCCACACCAGCTTATAAAAATCCTCCAGCTTTAGTGCACTGGTCACATATATATATGCCATTTATGATCACCATCTTTGCCTTTTTCTTACATGGGTAAGGGGACAGATTTAGGCCAGTGCACAAAAATGACAATGTTTTTTAACCTTTAGGGTGACATTTTTTTCAGTTCCCACTTATATGCTGAAAGGGAGTCCTGACCGATTGCCTGGATAACTGCTTTTTTTTTTTTTTTTTTCCTGCAGTTGAAAGGATTATTACAAATATTAACATTACATCACAGAGTTAAAAGGTTAATTGATCACTGTTCAGTACATTCTGAGTCATTTTCTATTCACTTTTGCCATAATCAGGATATAATTATATTGAGCAAAGTGGCTTTTGCCATCTTCTTTCCATCTGAACATTACCAACTTCAGCAATTTTCAACATTGCCCCCATTTTTCAGGGTGGAGATATTTCTCATAAATTTCTAAAATAAAAGTGACTTCCTTCTTCAGACCTTGCATTTAGCAAATGTGAGGTGGTGCGTTTTCTATGTGTGACAAACTGGTACCTCATGTGTCACTACGGAGAAGACTGAGGGTTGGTTTATGTAAATGTTTCAAGGAACAAGTTGTCTCAGTCATGAGGACCGAGTTAGTTCAGTGACAGCAAAATGGGAAGTATTTAGGGAGGATATCCTCAAAAGCTCTTTGCCCAAAAGGCAAGACAGTGTCCAGGCAGCACTAGATAAAAGCTGGTGGTGGAGGACTTGCTGCCATGCTTGTTTCTCCATTCTTCCCTCATTCTGTTTTTTAGGGGGGTGGCACTCAAGCAATCTCTACGGAGGCAATGTGAAAGATATCTTCTGTTTTCTTGCTCTTTGGCCTGGTGACTCAGGTTGCGTTGTGAGCTCAGTATTTGCTCCTCATTGCAGAAATGTGAATGAGATTATGATCATTAGCAATATATTCGTCTGTTCACTAAGAGCCGACAGATGAATTTCATCTTTTTTGTAACAGCACTGGAAACAAGAAAATGATACTAAGATGCATTCAGATGGATATTTCTAAGGCTGACTTGATTTGGCCAGGCCCTTTATCTTAATAAAATCTGTGTAATTTTTCTTCTGTTGGCTTCAGTGCAATTATGTTTGGGCCCATAATACATTAAAGGGACCACATAGTAATACATCTATTTTCATGACTGAAAGATAGCTTACTCTTCTTATGTAGTGTCTTTATAAAAACATCAATTGTGTAAATATGAAATGTATATTTCTTGTATTAGGAAGATATACAGTATGGGATAAACCTAAACAACCATGCAGCAAGTGTTGTTTATTGTACGTTTATTTATTTCTCACATTTTGTGTCTTCCTGTTCTCTTTGTTTTGAATTCACTGGAATTTTTTCCAAGCAGCTTCAAACGAGTCATCTGGGTTTTAAATGCACTTGCCATATGAATGATTTCACTTTCACGCATGCATGAGAAATTTTCCTGTCAGAGTTCAACCACTTGTGGCAATGTTCAGTCCTAGTGGTGGTAAGTCAGCTTGTCTATGCGGAAGGATCAGAACAGCTTCAAAAGTCAACGCCCTGCGAGTTGGGAGCTCTGCACTTTGGAAAGAGGCCGGAAGGTTCTTCAAGCATTGAGAAAGCTTCTGATCTTATATCTTCAAACAGTGATGTTTTAGCATACAGAAAAGGGCTGGTTTATCTCATGGTAGCTTTTTGTTTTGTTTTGTTTTTTTAATTCTGGAATGAATATAGCAAAATAGTATATTCTTGCTCCTGCAAAAGGTTTCACAAAAGATATACAGATAATAAAAAGTTCTCACTCTGTTCTTTCCACCTTCCTGGAGAATTTGACCACTGCAGATAAGCTGTATGCCAGACATTTTCTGGAACAGTCTGAGGGTTTGCTCTCACTTCTGTGGAAAAATTGCTTAACTTAGTTGCCGTCTCTCCCCCCATGATTAATACGCCCATCTCAACTGAGGTGCTGAGGCCACTAATCATCCGTGAAGCACAGACCAGGAGACCCAGGTCTGGAGACAGCTGACTGATCATATAATGATGATAAAAGTGTTGTCTCCTTGTTTTCTTTGGTCAAACTAACGGTCAGCCAAGTGCATGCAGAAACTTTCACAGGTAAGTAGATGCAGTTGTGCTCCTAAGCATACTGTGGGATCACAGGGGCCATCCAAATCTCTCTGAGATATTGGCATGTTGTTCTTCATGCAAAACCTCTACATAGGTTGGCAGATATGACACAGGACCTAGAGGAGACCCACAACTTCCAGGAGCAACAGCCTGATGCCAAGGGGGTTATGCTCAAATGTCTCAAGTGTCACTAGACAGCTGTACTAAGGCAACTCCGTTCAATAAGCCAGGAAGCCCCAAGTCACATGTGTCTATATCAGGCTTGCCATGGGAGAGGGGTAATCAGTTATGTCACCAGGGTTTTGACCACTTACCAGCACAATTCTCTAAATTCGGAAAGTGAGCAATAAAGATCAGCACTTTCTTATCTCCAATGCATGGGAGCATTAACATTGAAAACACGCTTTTTCTCTCTTTCCATAGAGGGAATGGTTCTTGTCTCCCAGTGTCCTTGCTAGGAAAGTTCCCTTTGACTTTATTGAATCCAAGGAGTAAGTACAGGGACCTTCTCCTGCAGGGACCATGTACTGTAAGAAAATAAGCATTACTTTAATGTTTCATGAAGAATGAGCTGAGCACTGGGCTCAGTGTGAATATAAGACTCAAGTGTTTCCATCTCTCTTTAATGTTTAACAGGTTGATAGAGCTCCTTCCTTTTGTTACCATAAATTACTACTGGGGAATTATAAGCAAGTGCCTCACCTACAGTAAGGCTGCATCAGATCCATTTGTTTACTCACTTTTACGTCAACAGTACAAAAAGTTCTGATCAACATCGTCAATAGGATACTTAAGAGGGACCTCTATCCATCATCGGGGTACAACAGCTCTCTCGACACCGAAAACGATTACTGCTTGCACAGAACAAACTAACAACATGAAAAGCATTCCCCTTCAAGTGAGACAGGTGACTGCTGCTGCTGGATAGCTGCCTTTTCCCTCCCATGCTGACAGTGGTGACAGTGTCCCCAGGGTGTGAGAGCTGCGTTAATGCAATGCATTTCACTGTGGACTTTCATGAAAGGCTCTTCCCTGGTCTGCAGCCAAGTACAACACACGGCAAAGCCTTGTCCCTGAGCGAATGGAGTAAGCTTGACGGGGTTTAAGAGAGCCTTTGGAGGCTTTAGAGAACTTTTAATATTTCACGTCTGAAGACTTGGTATGTCTTGAAGCGTTCCACATCAGATGTGACATTCCAGTGTCTTCTGGGACCACAGGAATCCCCAGGTTGGACGGAGAGGTTGAGAGTGCTCTGTGCTGCCCATGTAACTCGGCAGCCCAGGATCTGCTCTATCAGTTTTGAACATTACAAATAAGTCTTTTAATTGATTGATTTATTGTATTAGTGCCTCAAGTGAGTCAGCACTTTGAATCTGAGATTGTTGTTATTATTATTTATTACTAGGCATCATGATTGTAACATAGCCTTTAGGAAGTGGTACATATATTTGATATGCCAGTATTCTATCAAGCATAACCAAAGTCCACATATCTGAGTTACCAATATTTAGCACTTCAGTGGTATGTGATTACAGTAATTGCAGCAACAGTAATGGAGACATATAAGAAATTTAGTTAAATATCACTGTAGTTCCATCACTGAGCTAGTAGACCTATTCAAACAAGCTTTTATTCAGAAAAAAAAAAAATCAGTTAGACAGTAGAAGTGACAGATACCACTGTGTTTAAGATATATTACTTCAGAAGCTAACTTTTTTCAAAAAACAGGCTAAAGTATACTGATTCTTTTTAAGGGATATATAATGTGTAAAATATTTCATGCATTGGCTATATTTGGTGGATTGTAATAATACTGTACAATCTTTTCTTTTATAATGATCAATTACTCTGGCAATTTTAACTGATACCAAGAGATGTCTGAGAGGTACTATAACAGACTTGCTGCCAAATGCCCAGAAACACAAAGCTGCTTTATTAGTATATGCATTTTTCTTTTTTATTTATTTTTAAATCTAAACAGGCTTTGGAAAAATGTGGGAATTATTTTTGAATAATATTCCTTTGATTCTATAAAACATGCATCAAAGTATTCTATGGCATTCAATAAACTACTATTTTCTAATCGAATACGTAAGGGGAAAATGAAAGCAATTCTAAAGTATATTTTAACAAAAAAAAGAAAGAAGACAGTAAAGAACACTTATTTTTTATGTAACAATGGACTTGACCCTATTATGCATTGAGAAGGCTATTCCTGGTAAAACTAAGCATATAAGTATGTGATTAGGCACAAATATAATTTATTTTGAAGTTAACAGCCCTATTCCCATGCTGAAAATTAAGCACACACTTAATGTTGAGCAGTTAGCACACAGAGAGGGTTTCTCCTACCATCCACAATGAGGAAGGAGAGCATCTTATTGCAATACCATTGAAGTCAAGGAAAGGTGATACTGTGTAACAAATACAATGTTCTCTTATCTCCTGCTTTTAATCTCTGAGGCCTTTCTGATGCCATTTTTTGGTTTTGGTTTTCCCCCATGCAAGTACCTTAGGCCTCTGTGTTTTGCATCTATAGCTCTGCCTGTGTTTAAATTGAATGTACTATAATGGTTTTGTCTTCTTAGTAAAGTATTTGTACTCTCTCCAATTTTGTGTAAATACAATATTTCAGAAAAAAAAAAAAAAAAAGCTCTCTATGGAATTTTTCCAGTTTTAATATCTTACTGTCTGCCTCCACATGGTTTCCCCCCTCTGCCATGTCACTACAAAAACCTGATGCTCAGTCTTTCATTTCAGCTGCAAAATAAGGACCAAATATCTCAGGGCGGGGTGGGAGGAATGCTAAATTTTCAATTATTTTTTAGTCAGTTTAGTGCCAAAAAGTTTTGATAGACTACAGCATTTATCTGTGAATAAACATGAGGTTAATGATACCTACAGTTGTTAGCTTGTGGTTGGCTTACATTTGGTTTCCTAAACAAAATGGTGCTCACTTTAAGAAAGGAATATGTTACTTACAGTTAAGGGTATTAAATTGTCACCTCCAAGACATACAAATTAAATAAATCTTTACTTCATTTTTTTTATATGTTAGTATCAAGAAAATAGTAGAGGAGAAAAAATAATAATAGACTTTAAAGCTATTACAGTAATAAACTTCTAAAGGTATTAAACTATAAGCCACCTTTTAAAGATATAAAGCAGGACATAGTTAAACAGCTACATGTGCTATTAAGTTAATTAACGAAACTTATTCAGGTCAGTTGAGGATGTTGTCATGCACATACTTTAAAATACTCCTTGACCTCACAAAATATTGAACATTTCTAGAGGGGCTCAGGTCCAGACTGGGAAAAAAAAAAAAAAAAAATTGAGCCTGATCTGGGTGTTGCAGAACGTCTTTTAGATTTAATTTCCATAGAGAATTAGGAAGTTATGGTCTACAGCATGCTGTAGAGCAGAAACTAAGGAGGGGTGAGGAGAGCTGTAGTCCTCTCAGTCTCGATTTGCAACGAAGTTTAACTGCTTTGTTTAGCATTACCAAAAGGCATCTTCCTCTGCTTAGAGTGCACAGACAGTTCTGCAGGTAAATTTTTCTTTCTCCCTTCTTCTCACCACCCCTACTCTCCTCCCCACCAGAGGAGGGCTTGCTCTAATTTTTTAACCAAGCAGGAAGCGTTCAGTGAGAGGTCTTGGTTTCATTCCCCCAGCTTCCTGATGAAGACAAAACTTTGGTTATCTTGGTGCTTCCTTCACCATGCTCTGGGTTATTCACGGATAGGAGGATGTAGGGGGAAACACACTTTGCCCTCATTTTTTGGGATGCTGCAAAAAGGATCAAATGATTTAGTGCTATAACGGAGGTGAGAACATATATCTTACAGCATGGGAGCATTTACCATCAGTGGCAAGGTTGTGGACTACCCTCTTACCAACATTTTATATAAAACAAACCTTGGATACACAGTTCTGACAGTAGAGCTTGGTTTGGATCAAAAGATTTCCAGTAAAGCTGAAGGATGAGATCCAAAATGGCATATTGCCATTGACATACTCTTGCCAACTCAAAAGTAGTGCTCCAGGAAACTTTATCTGGATTTCCTGCCCAATGACCTGGAGCAGCTTTTGCTAGGAGACAAGAGACTGGCAAACACCTGGCAGGTGTGTTGTGCAGTTGGAAACACCTGATGCTATGACTTCCCTAGCAGGAGGAGCTCTCACCCACTTGAGGCTGTTTAACGAAAACAATGGCAAATCGTTGAAAAAGTGTGCAAGAGAAGCATCATCTTCTTACATCAGTAGCAGTAGAGCCCCAAACAATTACTGGGCTGGGATTTTTCAGCTCCTGGGTGCAAAATAAATAAATAAATAAATAAAAATATTCCTCTTCCTTTCTCCAAACTTGTATTTTAGCTGCAGACTGGAGTTGAGAACTGCACCTTCCCTGGGTGACATTCTCCTCCCAATGGTAGTCAGAGTATAAACTCTGAAGTGTAACACACCTTTAATTAGTCTATGTAACTGAGGAGACATTCAACTTCTTTTTTTTTTTTTTTTTCTTAACACATCTCCACCAAAGTATTTCCAAGCCTGATGATTTAGATACTTTCTGGCAAGATCTAGGATGGAGTTTCGAATCTGTCTTTTCAGAGGAAGGAAGCGAGTCTGTGTACTCCATTTCCTGGGTGAGGGCTCTGATCTTTATTATCATGGAGAATAACCTCTTCAAAATTAAATAGAAAACTTTTTTTTTTTTTTTTCCCTATACTGATGGTAAACTTTGAGACTGACAGTCAGAGTTTCTGAGGCAATAAAGGTGAAGTAGTGCTTAGACTACAGATTCCCAAAATGTTTAGTTATGAGCTGGATCCAAGCCTGCTAAATCATCCTGACAGGATAGATGTGCTTCAGTCCAAGTGTAAAAACAAAACTAATTTTCTTAGGTTGTATGATACTAAAAACTTTAGTATCTCTGAGCTTAGATGGTAGCTGAGCAATGAGGACTTTGGGTTCTGTGAATTTTCACTCCACAAATTTCTTAACCTCACTGAAGAGCAGGCATGTTACTTACGTGGGTAAATCATCACCTAATAAACTTTTACAAATAATCGGCACAGCTCAGTGATTACTGAATACATATTTACTTTGTCTTAATGAGAGTAATGATGGTACTGAACTTAAATTTCAGAGCTAATTGCAATGTTAGGCTTATCACATGGTTAAGCATATGGGAACTAAAATTCTTTAATGCAATTGCTCTTACAAAGAGAGTGATCATGCTCTTTACAACTATGGGTTAAAATTTGAAGTTTTTGAGAAATTGAGCAGCATTGAGCCTTGCTGAATAAAATTACCTGTAATGAGATGTTCAGACGCATCTAGCTAAAATTAAAAACAAAAACAAACAAACAAACAAAAAAAAAAAAAAAACCAAACAAAAAAACCCCAAACTGTAGAGAACTATCCTGTATGAGTGGCAAGGTTTGACTACATCACCTGGAGGGCATATTTTCTGTTGTATTTAAGGCTTTTTTTTTTCCCAAAAATAATTATGTGCACTTGTGCACACAGAATGAATAAGCAACTGTGTGTATGTCTCAAAAGCACATAGCATATTTCAGGATTGTGAAGTGCAAATGTCTTGCTCAGTCTGGTTCAGGAGGACACCTGGTTTGTGGGAGGTGTTAATTACACAAGTAAATTAGAGGTTCTGCTTTTTATTTTTGGAAAGCGGGTCCAATTAATATTTAATGGCTCAGCTGGAGACACAGCAGAGATGACCTTAAGAAAGGTTGTAAATATGTGAATATCTTTCTGTGCCAGAAGCTTGGGAGAGCAAAATGTCACCTGGCACAGTGTACACAACCAGCTCCTCTGAGCTGGAGCCGCTTTTCCCTGCGGCTTAT